AAAAAAAAAAGAAAGAAAAGAAAAGACTTTATCCAGATAATGAATCAAGTGGGACAGTGTTTAGAATATATTGTGTGCAGCAATGATATACTGAAGAATGCATGTGCCTATTTGTAAGTTACATTTCTATACGTAAAACTTTTTGTGCTTTTTTCCTTTTTCTCACAGGGTAATAAGAGATTTATTTTTAAGTTGTAATGGAGTAAGTCAAATAATTGAATTAAATTATCTAGATGGTATACGAAGCCATTCCCTAAAAGCATTTGAAACTCTGATAATCAGCCTGGGGGAACAACAGAAAGATGCTTCAGTCCCAGGTATTGATGGACTAGACACTGAGCAGAAGGAGTTGTCATCTTTAAGTGCAACTCCTTCCTTTTCTAGCCAGCAGGCTTGTTCAGATGCTCCTCAGAGCCTCCGCAAGTTCTATGCCACTCTCAAAGAAGCTTATCCAAAGAAACGGAAGACTTTTCACCAGGATGTTCATATCAATACCATAAACCTCTTCCTCTGTGTGGCATTTTTATGTGTAAGTAAAGAAGCAGAGGCTGATGTGGAGTCAGCCAATGAATCCGAGGACACATCTGGCTATGATAGTACAGCCAGTGAGCCTTTAAGTCGCATGATGCCATGTCTGTCTCTTGAGAGTCTTGTCTTGCCTTGTCCCGAACGTTTGCATGAAGCAGCAGATGTTTGGTCAATGTGCCATTGGATTTACATGTTGAGCCCAGTCTTCCAGAAACAGTTTCATAGGCTTGGTGGTTTCCGAGTATGCTATAAGTTGATATTTATGTTAATACAGAAATTATTCCATAGTCAAGAGGAGGAGCAAGGAACAAGGCAGGGAGATTTGACTGTAAATGAAAACCAAGATCTGATGAGAACCTCTCCAGCTAAGATTACATTGAAGGAAGACTTACCACCTTTACCTGCAAAACATGACCCCATGGCATCAGAACTGGGAAGTCTAAGAGACAATGTGGATAGCATAGGTATATTAGAGTCACAGCATATTTCCTGTACAAATATGGAACAAGTTTCAGCTATTGAAGCTGCTCCTGAGGAAGCAGAGGTGTTCATGAATGGAGGAAAGGAGGCTTCACTTCAGAGCATAAGACTTTTGGAAGCTCTTCTGGCCATTTGTCTTCATAGTGCCAGGACAAGTCAGAAGATGGAACTGGAGTTACCTACTCAGGTAATATTATGTCCTTAGTCTGTATTATGTCCTTAGTATATCTTAGTATATGTATGTGTATACACTTACATGTGTACAAATGTGCATTTATGATCTTCCTTTCATTTTTCCAGAGCTTTTATATTCTGAGAAGCTTGGGTACTATGGAGGACATGAAGGAGTACATGAACCAGTTCTTAGAGAATCTTACAGTTGAGTTTACAGTGCAGAATTCCTGTGAAACAGTTTACATAGTGTCAAAGGAGTAGTTACACATACCGCATTTTAGACTTTAGTATTCACAATCTCGGGAGGTACTGATGGGTGCCCTACTCAGATTCCTTGGCTGTGTTACAGCTCTAGTATAATCATCACCATATCTTGTCTGTACTTATTTGTTCCATGTGCTAGACTGAGAATTCCTTAAAAGAGAAGCCTGTTTCTTAACCATTGTTAGATATACCTTGCCTTTGTAGAGATAGAGGCAAGCAGCAAGGGCTTCCTTCAGTGTCAGAAGAGAAGAGAAATAGAACACAACTGCTTAGTGAATTCTACGAGAAAGGAATTTGCAAACTCTAGAGAGGGCTAAATAAAACTCTGAAGTTTTAAAGAATCATCTTTTTGTGACTCAATTATTGTACATGAGTAATATATTTGATAAATAACTCATTTTGGTAGGATATTTGAATATGAGTTCAAATTTTACACGTTTACCATTTTATTTAGTTGTAAAGTATGTTATTAATATTCTTACTCTTGTATTTTTACCTAGAACTTGTCTGTGGAAAGTATACTGGGTGAGATGAGGAACCATCTTTTCAAGTCAAAGGTGACTGAAACTGAGTTAGCAAAGCCTTTATTTGATGCGTTACTTCGAGTAGCCCTGGGGAGTCACTCAGCACACTTGGACCATAATGACACTGTGACTGAGAAGGTATGAATCCATGTAGTTGTGTTATGTGGACATTCTAACCACTTAGAATGTTTATCAAGTGAGGTTATGGGTCATGCTTCTCCAGCTGAAGCAGAGAGTGTTTCATCAGTGTCCAGTCAGAAAACAAACAGCAGTATGACATGCTTTGTAAATCTAATCTTGAATTTTATTGGGAATCACTCCCAGTAAGACAGAGAGGTATTATTTGATTTAGTAACTCTTACATCAAATGATGATTTGAGGATAGTGACCATTCATTCAGTTATCTTATTGGTACAGTGATAGCTTCACTCATTCAGCTAACATTTCCAGAACATTCTACTCACTTTAAATTGCGCAATATAAAAATGACTAGCCCTCACAAAGAAAATAGCAGTTATAATTTTTTAGTTGTTTATATTAACATTTTTTCTAAAGTGATTGTTTCAATTTTTTCCCCTAAAACTTTGTAGTATATATTTAGTTCACTTTCCTTTCCTGTCATGTTTCCTTTACCTTTGGTTAATAAGGGCTAATTTTATCTTTATAAACTCCTCTTCAAACAATTTGGCCCAGAAATATATATTATGTTTTATCATCTTTTACCATATTATGTTATTGTTTGCCATAACTTTTTTTTATTTTTGTGCTGGTCCTGGGGCTTGAAGTCAGGGCCTGGGTGCTCTCCCTGAGCTTTTTTTTTCTCAAGGCTAGCACTCTACCACTTGAGCCACAGTGCCACTTCTAGCCTTTTCTGAGTAGTTTATTGGAGATAAGAGTCTTATTGACTTTCCTGCCTGGACTGGCTTCAAACCAGCTGAGATCCTCAGATCTCAGCCTCCTGAGTAGCTAGGATTATAGGCATAAGCCAACAGTGCCTGGCCATTTATTTTTTAGTGAAACAAATGACTCCATTTTTATGGCAGTAATTGTATTTGAACTCAGGGCTTAGACCTCGTAGGGCAGGTAGGTGCTCTACCACTTGACTCATGCCCCAAGGCCTTTCTGCTTTCATTATTTTTCCAGTAGATTCACTTTTTGCCTAGGCTAGCCTGAACTGCATGCTTCCTATTTGTGCTTTCCTTTGTAGTTGAGATGATATGCAAGTACAGCTGAGCCCAGCCTTTCATTGGTTGAGATGAAGTGTCACAAACTTTTTATAGGGAATAACCTCAAAATGCTATCCTTGTGATTTTAGCTTCTTGAGTAGCTAGGGTTACAGATATGATCTTCTATATCTGACCTAAAATGCCCTTTGATTGTGATATTGTCTGAGGGGGGTCTGAGAAATTTTGCTGTATGAATAACAATTTTATGGTGGTTATTATTTTTTGGTAAAAATTTTAAATTGTTATTATAAAGGTGATGTATAGAAGGGCTGCACCTACCTAAGTCAGATAAAGATTACATTTCTTTTTAGACGGTGGATTTTTTTAAGTATTGACGGTTTATCAAATGACTTTTGAGTGATATTCTGTTATTTTTTTAAATGAGTGAAATCTGGGTACCATTGGCTCATGCCTGTAATCCTAGCTTATCAGGAGGCTGAGATCTAAAGCCAGCCCAGGCAGAAAAATCCGTGAAACTCTTATCTCCAATTAACTTCCAGAAAACTGGAAGTAGCGCTGTGGCTCAAGTGGTAGACTGATAGCCTTGAGCTGAAGAGCTCAGGGACAGCGCCCAGGCCCAGAGTTCAAGCCCCACAACCTACAGCAGGAGGAAGAGGAGGAGGAGAAAGAGAAGGAGGAGGAGGAGAAGGAGGAGGAGGAGAGGCAAAGTTCTTCAGGGTATAGCCCTGAGCTTTAGGTTTAAATAGAGAAAGAACTGGGATAGGGGACAAGAGATATGCATAATTAAGCAATCCTAGGCAAAATGTCACCTGTTTGATCATGATCTCAGTTGTTTCTAGAGAAGTTGTTGTCATTACTTGAGGAGAGCATTCTGGTTCCCATGAGCTGGTAGCTGTGCTTCAAGTTGCAGCTTCATCATATGTCATTGTCCTGTGACGTTTTGATGTGCCTTGGGGATAATTATGGTCCTTGCCATAACTATCACCCTTGGTGCCAGTACCCAGAGTGCTACAGTAAAGAGACTCATAGCAAAGGAGACATGGAGAATGGAGGGAGAGATGTCAGGTATTAGCCTGCTTTTAGATAACTTATAGGGCATGTAGGGAGTTGGTACTTTTTAGCAAAAGCCATTTCTAAGTGCTTGTTCTAGCAGGAGACACTAGAGAAATATTTTGAATGAAGAACTATCTTAATTGCAATCTTGGTGAATATTTGGTATGTGCTATATGGTTTGTATTAAGATTCTTTAAAAACTATGAATCGATACTGTTTTTGAGAACATAATATACCCCTGTGTGTTAATTGTGGCATTATCAGAGTAATGAGCAATACCACACACTACAACTTCTACATATTTGGAAGTTAGGGTGCAATACATGGGTTGAGATGTAATTTGCTTTCCTAAATCTGTTCTTGGTTGTTTACATGATCAATTAGTACTCTTTGAATTAAAGCCCCCTGGTGTTTAGTGTGGGAAGTGACCCGACACTTCACCAAGCTGAAGGAAAGCAGCCTACAACAAAATCATTCTTTCTTCTTTTTTTTTAGATTTTAACCTGCCATTGTCATCTGATTTAATCCTGACCAAAGAAAAACATTCAAGTTCACAAAGGTCTACTCAGGGAAAATTATATTTAGAAGGAAGTACTCCACATGGTCAAGTTTCTGCAAAAGTAAACCTTTCTCGAAAAAGCAGACGACAGCATAAAAGTACCCATCGCTACTCTGTCAGAGATGCAAGAAAGACACAGCTCTCCACCTCTGACTCAGAAGGCAATTCTGATGAGAAAAGTCCAGTCGTGAGTAAGCATAGGCGGCCCCACGTGCTGCAGCGCTTTGTAGTGCAGCCTCCTAAGGGCCACCTTACAGCTCAACTCGACTTGCTTGTAACCAAAGAGCAGACTCCTGACACCATGGCTTTGGAAAGTTCCAGAGACATCATTCCAAGACTAGAGTCTAATTCTGATATTTTAAGCGAGCCAGCTGCCTTGTCTATTCTCAGTAACATGAATAATTCTCCATTTGACTTATGTCATGTTTTGTTATCTTTACTGGAAAAAGTCTGTAAGTTTGACATTGCTTTGAATCATAACTCTGCCCTGGCAGCTAGTGTAGTACCCACCCTGACTGAATTCCTAGTGGGTTTTGGAGACTGCTGTAATCTCAATGACTATGTAGAGAGCCAAGTGCTGTCTGCAGGTTGGACTGAAGAGCCAGTTGCTTTGGTTCAACGGATGCTCTTTCGAACAGTACTGCATCTCATGTCAGTAGATATTAATACTGCAGAGGCAATGCCAGAAAGTCTTAGGAAACATCTAACCGAATTGCTCAGGGCTGCTTTAAAAATCAGAGCATGCCTAGAGAAGCGGCCTGACCCGTTTGCACCAAGATCAAAAAAAACACTACAGGAGGTCCAGGAGGGCTTTGTGTTTTCCATGTATCGCCATAGAGCCCTGCTTCTTCCTGAGCTTCTGGAAGGAGTTCTACAGATCCTGATCTGTTGTCTTCAGAGTGCAGCTTCAAATCCCTTCTACTTTAGTCAAGCCATGGACTTGGTTCAAGAGTTCATTCAGCACCAAGGATTTAACCTATTTGAGACAGTGGTTCTTCAGATGGAATGGCTGGTGGCAAGAGAAGGAGTCCCTCCTGAGGCCTCAGAACATTTGAAAGCCCTCATCAGCAGTGTGCTGAAGATCATGAGCACTGTCAAAAAAGTGAAATCAGAGCAACTTCACCACTCGGTGTGTCCTAGAAAACGGCACCGGCGCTGTGAGTATTCCCACTTTATGCATCATCACCGGGATCTCTCCGGTCTTCTAGTTTCTGCTTTTAAAAACCAGCTTTCCAAAAACCCATTTGAAGAGACTGCGGATGGAGATGTTCATTACCCTGAGCGCTGCTGTTGCATTGCGGTGTGTGCCCACCAGTGCCTGCGCTTGCTGCAGCAGGCTTCCCTGAGCAGCACCTGCATCCAGATTCTGTCAGGGGTGCACAGTGTTGGCATATGCTGCTGCATGGACCCCAAATCTGTGATTGTCCCTTTGCTCCATGCCTTTACAGTGCCAGCACTGAAACACATTCAGCAGCAGATACTGAATATCCTTAACAAACTTATTTTGGACCAGTTAGGAGGAGCAGAAATATCACAGAAAATTAAAAAAGCTTCTTGCAACATCTGTACTGTTGACTCTGATCAACTGGAAGAGACTCTGCAGGGTAACTCATGTGATGACCAGACTCCTTCTAGCTTACTCAGCCCCTCCTACAGATGCCAAGGCATCCTGCCCAGCAGTGGGTCTGAAGACTTGCTGTGGAAGTGGGATGCACTAGAGGCTTATCAGAAATTTGTTTTTGAAGAAGACAGATTACATAATATACATATTGCAAATCACATTTGCAGTTTAATCCAGAAAGGCAATGCAGTTGTGCAGTGGAAACTGTATAATTACATATTTAATCCTGTGCTCCAAAGAGGAGTTGAATTAGCACATCACTGTCAACACCAGAGCATCTCATCAACTCAGACTCCCAGGAGTAGCTATCAGAAACAGTGTGTGCCTCAGGAAGTGCTTCAGATCTACCTAAAAACTCTGCCTGGCCTGCTCAGATCCAGGTTTGTGTATATGCACATGCACAGATATTTATTTCTCTGGTGGATGCTTGTATTTGAATTTCTAGCCATGCTGTTTCCAGAGTCTCGTTACTGCTGAAATAGTACTGACAATTTTTTTCTTAGGATATGATTTTAGCTTATTAGCAAAAAAAACTCCCATCCTATTGTCTTGTTTTAAACCTTTTGTTTGTTTTCTTTCTCTGGGAGTAGTTTATAGAGGAGAGACTATAGCCATAGGTTGTAATTTCTCAATGGAAAAAAAGGTAAGTTTTAGATAGATTTCTAAGAAAAAACATAGATGCAACACAGATACAGAAGAGCAAGGGCAAGTCTAAATTTTATAACATTAACCCCACTACCTTGTATAACTGATATAAACAAATAAGAAAAACAATTAATTTTTTAAGAATTGATTTATTTTTACTAGATAGGATATTATTTATCATTAAGAATGTTCATAAAGAGCCTGGCACTGGTGGCTCATGTCTGTAATCCTAGGTACTCAAGAGGCTGAGATCTGAGGATTGTGGCTTAAAGCCAGTCCAGGCAGGAAAGTTTATGAGCCTTATCTCCAGTTAACCACAAGAAAACTGGAAGTGTAACTGTGGCTCACAGTGGTAGAACGCTAGCCTTGAGCAAAGAAGCTCAGGGACAATGCCCAGGCCCTGAGTTCAAGCACCATGACTGTTTCTAAAGACCATGGTAAAACAGGAGGGAGAAAATGCTTATAATATTTTATGAATGAAATATACAAAATTTAAAATAGCATATTTATATACAATTATATAAAATAAACACTTCATAGAATGATAATTACTGAAACAAGTCTATTAAGAGAATTATTTTCAAATACCATACTTATATTTATTAAGCAGTACATACAAAAATTAGGAAATGTACACAAGCAAAAAGAATAAAATTTAAATTACCAGTGAATTTTCTAGGCCTTTTCTTTTTTTGGCAGTAGTGTGGTTTAAACTCAGAGCTTGATAGTATTTGCTTGTTAGTCACTCTACTATTTGAGCTACAGCTTTTTTTTGGGGGGGGGGGTTGTTTTTGTTTGAAGGTTAGTTTTTCAGAGACAGTCTTGCTCAGGCCAGCCTTAGACTATGATCCTCCTACCTATGCCTTTCACATAGCTGGGATGACAGACATGCATACATACCTTGCTTATTTGTGGAAATAATGTCTCTCAAATTTCTTGCCCAGGTTGGCCTTGAACTATGAATCTTCCCATCTCTGCCTTCTGAGTAGCTGGTATTGTAGCTGTGAGCCACAATGCCTAGCATGATTTTCCAGATTTTGTGATTGTCAAGTCTGGTACATTTAAAAATTAATTTTATAAATAAATGATGTTTCTGATAGTTTGAGTGGCCTTTCAAATGAATGTATATACCATTTAAATAACTTTGATTAAGTTATAACCTATCAATATTATATATCTGTGTGGTATCTTAAAAACTGTTTATATCACTGAGCCCACTTGCCCCTTGAAAACTTTTGTAACATTTGTCTACTTGAATTGGATATTGGCCGAATCAGAGAACTGTAGGGAAACTTGTATGCTTTTGAAATATAACATGAGAGAAAATTCAAGATTTTCAGCTCTGTAGTATAGTTCTTTCCTTTTATGAAATGTACATGTAAAAAAAAGTCTTGAGTGAACACTAGGCAGATGAACAAATTATGAGTTGCATGCCTTCTGCTCTGTTATACAGTTCAAGTGTGAGAGTGGTTGTAACACGTAGAATTTATATAGAATTTTCTATTTGGAAAAAAATATTCCTTTCTGAGTTGTTTTATTTAATTTGAGCTGGATGTAATCCTTTCTTTTTAAATACTGTCAGAGCCATATGCACAGTATCTGAAGGAGGATGGAGAATAATTAGAACATAATCTGAGGTCAGTGAGTAAAGACTTTGTCCAGATAAGGACCGGGAAGGTGGCTCAGTGGTAGAGAGCTTGCCTTGCATGCATGAGGCCCGAGGTTCGATTCCTCAGCACCACATAAGCAGAAAAAGCTGGAAGTGGCACTGTGGCTCAAGTGGTAGAGCGCTAGCCTTGAGCTGAAGAGCTGAGGAACAGTGCCCAGGCCCAGAGTTCAGGCCCCACAACTGACAAAAAAAAAAGAAAGAAAAGAAAAGACTTTATCCAGATAATGAATCAAGTGGGACAGTGTTTAGAATATATTGTGTGCAGCAATGATATACTGAAGAATGCATGTGCCTATTTGTAAGTTACATTTCTATACGTAAAACTTTTTGTGCTTTTTTCCTTTTTCTCACAGGGTAATAAGAGATTTATTTTTAAGTTGTAATGGAGTAAGTCAAATAATTGAATTAAATTATCTAGATGGTATACGAAGCCATTCCCTAAAAGCATTTGAAACTCTGATAATCAGCCTGGGGGAACAACAGAAAGATGCTTCAGTCCCAGGTATTGATGGACTAGACACTGAGCAGAAGGAGTTGTCATCTTTAAGTGCAACTCCTTCCTTTTCTAGCCAGCAGGCTTGTTCAGATGCTCCTCAGAGCCTCCGCAAGTTCTATGCCACTCTCAAAGAAGCTTATCCAAAGAAACGGAAGACTTTTCACCAGGATGTTCATATCAATACCATAAACCTCTTCCTCTGTGTGGCATTTTTATGTGTAAGTAAAGAAGCAGAGGCTGATGTGGAGTCAGCCAATGAATCCGAGGACACATCTGGCTATGATAGTACAGCCAGTGAGCCTTTAAGTCGCATGATGCCATGTCTGTCTCTTGAGAGTCTTGTCTTGCCTTGTCCCGAACGTTTGCATGAAGCAGCAGATGTTTGGTCAATGTGCCATTGGATTTACATGTTGAGCCCAGTCTTCCAGAAACAGTTTCATAGGCTTGGTGGTTTCCGAGTATGCTATAAGTTGATATTTATGTTAATACAGAAATTATTCCATAGTCAAGAGGAGGAGCAAGGAACAAGGCAGGGAGATTTGACTGTAAATGAAAACCAAGATCTGATGAGAACCTCTCCAGCTAAGATTACATTGAAGGAAGACTTACCACCTTTACCTGCAAAACATGACCCCATGGCATCAGAACTGGGAAGTCTAAGAGACAATGTGGATAGCATAGGTATATTAGAGTCACAGCATATTTCCTGTACAAATATGGAACAAGTTTCAGCTATTGAAGCTGCTCCTGAGGAAGCAGAGGTGTTCATGAATGGAGGAAAGGAGGCTTCACTTCAGAGCATAAGACTTTTGGAAGCTCTTCTGGCCATTTGTCTTCATAGTGCCAGGACAAGTCAGAAGATGGAACTGGAGTTACCTACTCAGGTAATATTATGTCCTTAGTCTGTATTATGTCCTTAGTATATCTTAGTATATGTATGTGTATACACTTACATGTGTACAAATGTGCATTTATGATCTTCCTTTCATTTTTCCAGAGCTTTTATATTCTGAGAAGCTTGGGTACTATGGAGGACATGAAGGAGTACATGAACCAGTTCTTAGAGAATCTTACAGTTGAGTTTACAGTGCAGAATTCCTGTGAAACAGTTTACATAGTGTCAAAGGAGTAGTTACACATACCGCATTTTAGACTTTAGTATTCACAATCTCGGGAGGTACTGATGGGTGCCCTACTCAGATTCCTTGGCTGTGTTACAGCTCTAGTATAATCATCACCATATCTTGTCTGTACTTATTTGTTCCATGTGCTAGACTGAGAATTCCTTAAAAGAGAAGCCTGTTTCTTAACCATTGTTAGATATACCTTGCCTTTGTAGAGATAGAGGCAAGCAGCAAGGGCTTCCTTCAGTGTCAGAAGAGAAGAGAAATAGAACACAACTGCTTAGTGAATTCTACGAGAAAGGAATTTGCAAACTCTAGAGAGGGCTAAATAAAACTCTGAAGTTTTAAAGAATCATCTTTTTGTGACTCAATTATTGTACATGAGTAATATATTTGATAAATAACTCATTTTGGTAGGATATTTGAATATGAGTTCAAATTTTACACGTTTACCATTTTATTTAGTTGTAAAGTATGTTATTAATATTCTTACTCTTGTATTTTTACCTAGAACTTGTCTGTGGAAAGTATACTGGGTGAGATGAGGAACCATCTTTTCAAGTCAAAGGTGACTGAAACTGAGTTAGCAAAGCCTTTATTTGATGCGTTACTTCGAGTAGCCCTGGGGAGTCACTCAGCACACTTGGACCATAATGACACTGTGACTGAGAAGGTATGAATCCATGTAGTTGTGTTATGTGGACATTCTAACCACTTAGAATGTTTATCAAGTGAGGTTATGGGTCATGCTTCTCCAGCTGAAGCAGAGAGTGTTTCATCAGTGTCCAGTCAGAAAACAAACAGCAGTATGACATGCTTTGTAAATCTAATCTTGAATTTTATTGGGAATCACTCCCAGTAAGACAGAGAGGTATTATTTGATTTAGTAACTCTTACATCAAATGATGATTTGAGGATAGTGACCATTCATTCAGTTATCTTATTGGTACAGTGATAGCTTCACTCATTCAGCTAACATTTCCAGAACATTCTACTCACTTTAAATTGCGCAATATAAAAATGACTAGCCCTCACAAAGAAAATAGCAGTTATAATTTTTTAGTTGTTTATATTAACATTTTTTCTAAAGTGATTGTTTCAATTTTTTCCCCTAAAACTTTGTAGTATATATTTAGTTCACTTTCCTTTCCTGTCATGTTTCCTTTACCTTTGGTTAATAAGGGCTAATTTTATCTTTATAAACTCCTCTTCAAACAATTTGGCCCAGAAATATATATTATGTTTTATCATCTTTTACCATATTATGTTATTGTTTGCCATAACTTTTTTTTATTTTTGTGCTGGTCCTGGGGCTTGAAGTCAGGGCCTGGGTGCTCTCCCTGAGCTTTTTTTTTCTCAAGGCTAGCACTCTACCACTTGAGCCACAGTGCCACTTCTAGCCTTTTCTGAGTAGTTTATTGGAGATAAGAGTCTTATTGACTTTCCTGCCTGGACTGGCTTCAAACCAGCTGAGATCCTCAGATCTCAGCCTCCTGAGTAGCTAGGATTATAGGCATAAGCCAACAGTGCCTGGCCATTTATTTTTTAGTGAAACAAATGACTCCATTTTTATGGCAGTAATTGTATTTGAACTCAGGGCTTAGACCTCGTAGGGCAGGTAGGTGCTCTACCACTTGACTCATGCCCCAAGGCCTTTCTGCTTTCATTATTTTTCCAGTAGATTCACTTTTTGCCTAGGCTAGCCTGAACTGCATGCTTCCTATTTGTGCTTTCCTTTGTAGTTGAGATGATATGCAAGTACAGCTGAGCCCAGCCTTTCATTGGTTGAGATGAAGTGTCACAAACTTTTTATAGGGAATAACCTCAAAATGCTATCCTTGTGATTTTAGCTTCTTGAGTAGCTAGGGTTACAGATATGATCTTCTATATCTGACCTAAAATGCCCTTTGATTGTGATATTGTCTGAGGGGGGTCTGAGAAATTTTGCTGTATGAATAACAATTTTATGGTGGTTATTATTTTTTGGTAAAAATTTTAAATTGTTATTATAAAGGTGATGTATAGAAGGGCTGCACCTACCTAAGTCAGATAAAGATTACATTTCTTTTTAGACGGTGGATTTTTTTAAGTATTGACGGTTTATCAAATGACTTTTGAGTGATATTCTGTTATTTTTTTAAATGAGTGAAATCTGGGTACCATTGGCTCATGCCTGTAATCCTAGCTTATCAGGAGGCTGAGATCTAAAGCCAGCCCAGGCAGAAAAATCCGTGAAACTCTTATCTCCAATTAACTTCCAGAAAACTGGAAGTAGCGCTGTGGCTCAAGTGGTAGACTGATAGCCTTGAGCTGAAGAGCTGAGGGATAGCACACAGGCCCAGAGTTCAAGCCCCACAAATGACAAAAAAGAAAAAAAATGAGTGAATGTTACAAGTGTCACCTTTGAATTCTGGTCTGTAGAGTCATCCGTCTGGGGAAGAATTGTCATCCCAGCTTGGAGATTTTTCAGAAGAAGCTGAAGATTCTCAGTGTTGTAATTTCAAACTTCTGAGTGAAGAAGGAGGTTATGAAGCAGACAGTGAGAGCAATCCTGAGGATGGTGAAGTTGAGAATGGCGGTAATCTCAGATGCTCTTGTGGTCAGATCTGCAAGTTAGATTGTGAATGTGCAAAATGGCTAGTAATGATACCACTTTAGAGTATTGCTTTACAACTTTAAAAAAAAAGCACTGCATTGACATTTTATTAGACCTTGCAACCAATCTGAAATTTGTAAATTCAGTTTAAAACAATGAAATCAGTTTTGTTATGAACATTGGGTGAAGGACAGATTTCCTGCTCTTACACACCTTAGGAGGAAAAAAGAAAATAATTGATGAAAGCAAACAATATAAGGAATATAAAACCAGGTGACATAACAGTGACTGGAAGGTGGAGGAAGCCCCCTCTGAAGAGGCAAAGAACTTCTTAGGAAAAAAATGAGCTTGTCCCAAATAGTAGCCATTTTTCATAATGTATGAGGTGAACGAATGCAGGCATCCTACCATGACAGGCCACAGCCCCTATTGTCCTCAGGATGGAACTGCATTTCCCAGTACTCCTGGCCTCAGTTTAGTTAAACGTGTGAAGAATTTGTGATCAATGCTCTTAATGGTAATTTTATCACAATGAGTATGATTTTATAATGGTAGATATCTTCCTTTTTATGTTTGTTCACTAAAGCTTGACCTAAAAAATTCTACTTTGTTTAGAAATTCATAAATTTTTCCACTATATGAATCTAAAAGAGTGTGATGGTCTTTCTTAAGATCAGTTAAAATTTCCAAAATGTAATATTCATTAGGTCAGTGTCTGTTTCTTACTTACAAGAGACAGTGTAGAATTCAACCAGCCAGTTGCCAAGCCCAGTGTTTTCACAGAGGTGATGGACAAGCAAATTAAATTATCCTAGGATTTTGCTATTTTGAGTTCATGAAGTGGGGGATAGTGTTTGTTTTCCTAGTTATGTCAGAAGGATGTACTTGATCTGTAACATGTCTATAACAATTTTCTGCCAGTAATATTTGTATTACTTGTAAGGCGATCTGTCACACTTCAAACTATCTACAAGATTTGATTGTTCAAGATAGATAGCTTAATTAATGTTGTAGGAAAAGGTTTTTGTTAGCATCTTCTTATAAATACACTTTTACCACTATATCTACTAAATGGTGAATTCATATTTATTCAGTATTTAGGGAATGAAAATAATTTTTTCTTTGTCCTTTCCAGGGGTAGAAATAAAACCTGAAGCAGAAGGTTTCTGTGCATCAGTAGGTCTCAATGACTTACTTGAAAACCTCACTCAAGGGGAAATAATCTATCCTGAGATTTGTATGCTGGAATTAAATTTACTTTCTGCTAGCAAAGCCAAGCTAGATGTGCTCACTCATGTATTTGAGAGTTTCTTAACAATTATCAGACAGAAGGAAAAGAATATTTTTCTGCTCATGCAGCAGGTAAAAGATACAATCAGTTTCATGGCTGCTTATCTCACTCATGCCCAAACCCATGTCCTCACTTAGAGCCCAGCCTCTCTGAAAGTTAGAGATGATTGTTCACTTCTGTAATACTTTAACTGTGCTTTAGCCTTCAAGTGATATTCTAAAATTTTCCAATTTCATGTTTCTCTAACATAGCATAAAACTTAATATTGTTGTCAACTAACCAGTAATGAATTCTCATTCATTTCTGAAAATGAATTATGTTCTAAAAATTACATTTCATTGTAATGTATAGTCACTGTTTCAAAAAAAATCAGAATACAAAAGTCACTAAATCAGAATATTCAATGAAAAAGAAATACATAATCTTGTACAGTAGATTTTCTAGCAAATAAGCCCTGATGACATTGTAACAGTATTATGCATCCACAAGATAAAATAATTAATTTCTTTTTTAAATTATATATGTTTTTATTGTAAAAATACTGTACAGAGGGGTTACAGTTCTATGAGTAAGGTAATGAGTACATTTCCTATAGAGCATTATTACCTCCTCCTTTGTTTTTCCCTACCATCCTTTCCCTCCCCACCTCCCCAATTCCTCCCTCCCCGACCAAGTTGTAAAGTTCATTTTCAACATAATGTAAAATGATTAATTTCTTATGTTTCAATTTTTAATCTTCAGGGAACTGTGAAAAACCTTCTAGGAGGATTCTTGAGTATTTTTACACAAGCTGATTCTGATTTTCAAGGTGAGCTGAAACTGTTGATTGTGAACAAATAGCTTTGATGTGATTGTGTGACTATATGAAAAGCTGATAACACAGCTAAACTGACAATGCTCTGTGATTTCCAGAATATATGCATCATCAGTTTCTTTGTTAAATGCATTTATTGCTCACACTCACTCAATAAAGTAAAGTAGGCAGAGTGTCTTTTGAATAGAAAGGAACATCTGAACTGCAGGGGCTTAGTCAGTTGTTCAGTAGCATTGTACCTGATACTGTCTTTTATCTACTTTCTGAGATATTTGAGGAATTTATGTCTTCTGATTTCTAACCTCAATAAACCTAAAATTTAGTTGGAGAATAAAGATCTACATACATGCAATGTTCATTTTTGTTTGTGTGACATTAAATTCAGATTAAACATTGTGGGCAGGAATACTCCTTCATTGTTTTAGATCTTCCAGGGGCTTGATATCAAGGGATTTGTGATGTCTATATCTTATTACTAATGATAACTACGATACTTATTTCATTTTGCTTATGTGGTGCTGAGGAATCGAACCCAGGGCCTCAGGCATGCAAGGCAAGCGCTCTACCACTGAGCCACCTTCCTAGCCCCAACTACAATACTTATTAAAAGTATGTAAGGGCTGGGAAGGTGGCTCAGTGGTAGAGTGCTTACCTTGCATGCCTGAGGCCCTGGGTTCGATTCCCCAGCACCACATAAGCAAAAAGAAATAAAGCCGGAAGTGGGCGCTGTGGCTCAAGTGGTAGAGTGCTAGCCTTGAGCTGAAGAGCTGAGGGACAGCGCCCAGGCCCAGAGTTCAGGCCCCACGACTGGACCCAAAACAACAACAACAAAAAGTATGTAAATACCCTTATCATTGTTCAATACATGATTTTTAGCATCCATTAGTGACCTTTGACTGAAACAGTCAAAGGATTGTACTGTAAGAGAAAGCCTTCCCTTCTCTCCATTTTCTTGTTTAATATCTTCTCCTGTTCATATATCCTGTCCAGGAAGCCATTTTACTATTGTCATGTTCCCTTGCTTTTGTTTCTTTGCTTTCCATGTCAAAGCTAGGGAAGTCTGATCTAACGTCACAAAAGTTTATTCTTTAAAAATAATTTATCTTCTTCATAATCTTGCTCTTTACAAACTAGTTATGAACCTTTTGGATTGATTTGTACCATGTGGTTTATCTTGTATTGTATACCTCTCTCTTTTTATACCACATTCTGGAAGATTTTCTAAAATTCTATTCCAGGTTTTTATTTAGACTAAGAGATTTGTGCTTAATTATTTTCTCATCATTCCCTTTTTATATAAAAGATACAATATCTTCTTGTATTTATCTGGGTATTGTAATAAACATTTAAAAATAGTTTTTCCATTCCCTAAATTACTTTTTTTTCCTCTATGATAGTCTGTCTTTTTTGTTGTTGTTGATGGTGGTAGTGGTAGTTGTGGTCTTTTTTTGTTGTTGTTGATGGTGGTAGTGATAGTTGTGGGACTTGAACTCAGGATCTGGGCCCTGTTCCTGGCCTTGAGTTCTTTTTGCTTAAGGCTAGTGCTCTACCACTTTGAGCCACAGTTCCACTTCCAATCTTCTGGAGGTTATTTGGAGATAAAAGTCTCACCTACTTTCCTGCCTGGGTGGCTTTGAACTGTGATCCTTAGTTTTCAGTCTTCTGTATAGCTAGGATTACAGGCATAGAGCCACCAGCACCCAGCTCAACTGGTTTTTACGTCTTGGGATTACTCTTTTATATTACTGAAATATTTTTGCCTATTTAAATTTGTAAAAAGTATTTGAAATTTCCAATGTTGTAAAAGTAACTTTGCTTTAAAAAAATTTTTTTTTGTCAGTCGTGGGGCCTGAGCAGTGTCCCTTAGCTCTTCAGCTCAAGGCTAGCCCTCTACCACTTGAGCTACAGTGCTACTTCTGGTTTTCTGGTGATTTATTGGAGATAATTTTCTCATGGACTTTCCTTCCCAGGCTGGCTTTGAACTGCAATCCGCAGATCTTAGCCTCCTGAGTAGCTAGGATTACAGGCGTGAGCTACTGGCTCCTGGCTGTAAATTTGCTTTCTTTTGGCCTCTTTCTTCATGGATATTCTGTTGATGAGCACTACGTAATGTACACTGGCTGATTAGGGGGCTCGCCAAATGACCTAAGGAACAGAGATTTACTCCAGGGAGCTGTTAGGGCCACTGAACGAACCCCTCTAATTCATAGGAATTTTAGCTTTCTCTATTTTCTCTTCTCCATCTTCAAGAAATAGTTTTCAGTCTTTCACCTGAGTGAGAGTATCCCAGTGCCTACAGCCATCCTCCCATTCTTTCCCCCATTTTTGCTATTAAAACTTGCTTCCTTTTTGTAATTTTGCGTTTTTGTTTATTGAGTTTTCAGTAATACACAGAAGCATTTTTTTCTCTTGCTTTTTTTTTTCTTGGCAGTTCCAGGGTTTTGAGCTTGAGGCCTTGCACTGTATAACTTGAGCTACTTCCCCAGCCTCCAGAAGCAATTATATGTGTGTATACATATATATACACAAATATATATATATGTGTATGTATTTACATGTATATTTGTATCCATTTCCTCATTCAAACTAAAACTTTTCCATTTTGAACTAAAAAAGAGCTAAACTACTTTAGTTTGATCATGTTACTCAAAATCTTCAGTTTATTCATGTTACTTGCATATACTTACTGTCTTACTGTGAGTTGTCTTTGTAAGTACGCCTTCCATTATGTACACCACAGCTCACTCCCTTTCCAGAATCAACTGCTTGAACCTGGCTTCTTTTCTGACCTCAAAGTCTTCTAGAACCACTGGTCTTTTAAGATACATCTTAAGTTTTACATCTGGCTTATTTTTATCATTTATAAAGAGAGACAATAATTGATTTACAGGTTTTTGTTTATGATGAGAATCAACTTAAATAATGCATGTAAAATATATTTGGAACACTAGAATGTACTCTATAAATATTAGTACTAATTTCCTATAAAGAAATCTTTTTTTTATTTTTGCAGTGGTGGGAGTGGAATCTAGAGTCTCATGCTTGCTAGGCAAGTGCTCTACCAGGCCCCACAGGACCAAAAATTTGTGAACCATTATTTGTGTTTTATGCTATTTAAATTAAATTAAATAACATGTAATATTTAAAAATTTATACAATCTTTAGTATTTCCTATGTTATTTCTTTTTTTAATTTTTATTTTTTATTGTGAAAATACAGAGAGGTTACAATTACATGGGCAAGATAATGAGTACATTTCTTTTTTTTTCTTTTTTCTTTTTTAGTTTATTTTTTATTGTGAAAATACTGTACAGAGGGGTTACAATTACATGGGCAAGATAATGAGTACATTTCTTATAGTATATTTCTTATCAAGCATTGTAGCCTCCTCCTTTGTTTCCCCTTCCCATCCCTTCACATCCTCCCTCCACCCCCCCACCCAATTCTTCCCGCCCCCCCCACCAAAGTTGTAAAGTTCTTGTACTTCTCATTGTTGCAATGGATCCACCTGTATCCCTATTTAAACGACTTGTTTTTCCCCATCTCCTCCACAAATTATACCGACATGAAATACAGTGAAAGCACTGGTTATACTGTGGGGGAGGGACATACAAAGCAACAAAGAAATTATCTTATAAATGCGTTAGAAACAATCACATGAAAGAAAAAAAACATTTGAATACATATCTTAGGGTTCATTTCCCTAACATCACCTTATCTGACCTTTTCTGCTTGACTTAGACATATACTAGATATTGCAAATAAGGGAAACCATGGGACCTATGTTTCTTTGGGCTTGGCTTACTTCACTTAATATAATTTTTTCCAAGCCTTTACATTTCCTAACAAATGGGGCAATGTCATTCTTTCTGATGGAGGCATAGAATTCCATGTTATTCTGACATTTATTTTTCCATGTAGTGATAGTTAAAATTTAAACATTTCAGGATGAGAAAGTAATATACTATTTTTATGGGGGGGTCAGTTTATCTAACAAATGCTATGTTGATTTATGCATCTTTACGGAATGCTTTTACTTAGTTCAGTCAATCTTTTTATTTTTTTGTATCCCTCCTGGGGCTTGAACTCAGGGTCTGGGCATTGCCCCTGAGCTTTTTCATTCAAGGCTAGTACTTTACCATTTGAACCACAGCTTTGATTCTGACTTTTTTGCTGGTTAATTGGACATAAGAGTCTCATGGACTTTCCTGACCAGACTGGCTTCGAATCATGATCTTATATCTCGGCCTCCTTAATAGCTAGAATTACAGGTGTGAGCCACTGGCACTTGGGTTAGCCAATGTTTAAGAAAACTTCTTTCACCTGATGCAACAACGAGAAGTATAAGTTGTCATGTCCAAAACGAGCTTTACAACGTCGGTCGGGGGCGGGGGGAGGTAGGGGAGGGAGGAGAAGGGTTGGGATTGGGGGGGAGGGGGGAGGCTGGGAAGGGATGTGAAGGGTAAACCAAAGGAGGAGGCTGCAATGCTTGGTAAGAAATGTACGCATTATCCCGCCCATATAATTGTAACCCCTCTGTACAATATGTTCACAAAAAATAAATTAATTAATTAAAAAAATAAAAAAAGAAAAGAAAACTTCTTTCAGTTGATTAGTTGGATTGTATTTAATTATGTTGCTATCTCTTCAGCAAGTTTTGTACTCCTAAATTATTTATAATGCATTGAAGATGTGACAGTATTTGATTGCCTTCAGTGAAATTGTCAATTTTCTTTCATTAATTTTTATTAATTAAATGTATAATGGCTTTAATTTTTCTCCTCTCCTTAAAATTTAGGATGCCAGAGAGTATTGGTGGATCTGCTAGTATCTTTAATGAGCTCAAGAACATGTTCAGAAGATCTAACCCTTCTTTTGAGGATATTTCTGGAAAAATCTCCTTGTATAGTAAATATGCTTTTAATTTTTGCATTTTCATTAATATCTTAATAAGGTACACTTTTTATTGTTTATAAACCACTAAGCTCTTTCTTTTTGATGGTAGCAATGGTTCTACAGTAATTCCATTTATTTGAAATGGAAATTATTGTGAAATAAACAGCAATTAAGCTCTCAATCTTGTGAAGTCAGTCATGGTATAGCATCATGCAGAAAGCTGAAGAGTTTGTAAGGCCTCTGCTTATATCCCTCACTCAAAACTAATTGAGAGAAAAACACTTGTTTTTGTTTGGTAGAAATAATTTTGCAAGTAATTATCTCATTAATAAAGTTAATGATAACCCATAAATATTAGGTATGTATCACAAAGACATCTAAATTTAAACTGAGATTTGCAGTTTAAGAATGATGTATCTGAATAGTGTGTGTTTTCTTTCATATGCAGAAGCTATATTTAAAATACACAGGGACAAGATAAGTTACACAGGACTCTGGGCATTCAGACACAGTGAAACCAAAGGAGGATACTCTTAGGGGAGGAACACAAAGGCACATACCTATGTGTCTCTTATCATATAAGATACTATTTGTTTAAATAAAAAAAAGAATGATGTGTTTCATATTTTAGCTAAACAAAAATAAAAAATTTAAAGATGTCAGACAACAGAATATTGATTTGTGTGAGTATGTTTGTATTTTTAATGAAAGCTTTAATTTCAAGATTAAGATTTCATTTGATTTTCTTTTTTCTAGGAAATTCTTCTTCTGGGTATTTTGAGAATTGTTGAAAGTGATGCTGCCATGAGCCCTTCACAGTATCTGACCTTCCCCTTGCTGCACACTCCAAGTTTAAGCAATGGTGTCTCATCACAAAAGTGTCCTGGCATTCTGAACAATAAAGCCATGGGCTTCCTGAGAAGAGCACGGATTTCTCAGGGCAGGAAAGAAGCTGGCAGAGAAGGCTTTCCCCATCATCTCCTTTCCTCTTGGCACGTAGCCCCAGTCCACTTGCCGTTGCTGGGGCAGAACTGCTGGCCACATCTGTCAGAAGGTTTCAGTGTTTCTCTTTGGTTTAATGTGGAGTGTGCCCATGAATCTGAGAGTACTGCAGAAAGAGGAAAGAAAAGGAAGAAAAAGAACAGATGGTTGGTTTTACAGGACAGTAGTTTGGATGGAATAGGTATGATGGATCGTCTGATTTATACACTAAGGTTTTCAGATTGCAGTTTTGATTGAACCTAAAAGTTACATGGCAATGTTCTAACTGGCTCTTATATGCTCTTTATAGGCTTTACTTAATAGTGACAGGTCCTGAATTACCAAAACCTAGGTTTTCAGATAGCCTTAAAACCTCCATTTCCTCCTGTACTTTTTCATTGTGTGTATATGTAACTGATGCTGGCATAGTCAGCCACATTTCTTGCCTCATTTCTGGTCCTATTACTGGATTAGGGTGGCTCCTGATGTTAGGGAAAGGAGGAAATGTAAGCACCTCTTCTGTCTGCTGTGTTTCCCTGCTCCTGTTAACATTCCCCATTCTATCTTCTTTCTTTGTCTCAAATTCTCCTTCTTCTATGTTTTGCACTAGTGGTCCTGTTCCTCTGCCTGTCACTGAACATATCTCATCCATTTTCTGGAGTTAGAACCAAGTACATTTCTGTCTTCTCTGAGGAATTGTTATTGTGCTGCCTTGACAGTGCCTCTTGTTCTCCTGTGACCAGACTGTTCATTGAAAGCAATGTAGGGACTAGGAATTGCTGGTTAAATTCAGTGGTGGAATGCTTGTCTAACATATGTGAGGTCTCAGATTCCATCAGCAGAAACTTATGTGTACACATGAATGCACATAGCAGTAGGAAGAAAGTGAGTAGAATTATTAGGGAATATGGATTATATGAAATGATTGGATGGACAGATTTGAGGATTTATATGTACATGGAAGTTCAGGCCACAGTAAGTCTTCATTCCACAAATCTCACCCACCACTGGAGGTGTTTTAGAACCTGGGGCTCTTCCCACTGTTTGGTCTCCACCATCAGGGTTGACATGGCAGTGTCATCTGATATCCATATTTGGGGTCTGAGTTTACTGGGCACTCTTATATTATTAGCATGGCATAATACTTGTGTACTTTCATGAGTTATTCTATGAAGCTGCACTTTTTTAAGATCTTAGCAGATAGTTTGGAATGCTCCAGGTGGTTTTGAAGCCTTTTGTGGGTTGAGTATTGTCACCTAATCATAAGAGTTCTGAAACTATACCACATGTGATGGCATTGATGCTGTTGCTTTTTAACAAGCACTGAGTCATTTTGTATATGAGTTACTTTGCCTATCACCTTTTAAACAAATTTTTTAGAAGTACCAGGATTTGAATTCAGAGCTCTGTTTGTTAAGCAGGTGCTCTACTAATAGATCCATGCCCCTAGCCCTTTTTGCTTTCAAACTGTGACCATCGGATTTCAGAGTAGCTAGGATCACAAGAGTGAACCTATAGCACCCAGCTCTGCTCAGTTGTTTGTTTTTCATTTTTTGTTTTTTTCCACTCCTGGGGCTTGAACTTAGGGCCTGCGCACTGTCCCTGAGCTTCTTTTTGCTCAAGGCTAGCACTCTACCACTTGAGCCACAGAGCCACTTCTGGCTTTTTCTATGTATGTAGTACTGAGGAATGGAACCCAGGGCTTCATGCATGCGAGGCAAGCACCCTACCACTGATCCACCTTCCTAGGCCTCTGCTCAGTTTTTGTGAGATGTTATTGATTATTCTAATTTTTTTTTTCTCATAGAGAGCGACAGAACAGATGGTGGTGATTCCATAGACCCTGGTGAAAGACTAATAGAAGAAGGTTGTGTTCATCTGATTTCAGTGGGATCCAAAGCATTGATGATCCAAGTGTGGGCCAGTCCCCACAGGGGCACTTTTACCTTTCGGTATTGATGACCTCAACTTCTAACAAATAGATCATGTATTCAAATAATTTATGTAGGAGACATTAAAATGTGAAATCTTCTAATAAAGATCATTACAAAAAAAGAAAACTCATTTAAAAAAAGAAGATACATTCTAACAGTTATTAATATCACTTTGGTAATAGTATGTAGTTTTACTCCAAAATTTATAAGTCCTCCATTATGTTAATATTCTAATGTTTATGTTGAATATGAACCTTGATCCTATTTGTATAAAGTTCTATAAACCAAATGTGCTATTTAGGGATATGTTTGTAAATGTCATCAGATGCTTTTTTTTCTAGATGCTATCTGGAATCTGCAAAGTAGACTAATACATTCTGACACTGAGACATTTATTATAACATGTATTTATTTTACTATGAACCAAATTGTATTGCAATTTCTAAAATGGCAATGACTAAGTAGAAATAACAAATTTATTTACAACTGGTTTCTAAATTATAAATACCAGGCAATGAGCTTCATATATTTTAGCTTATAAATTGAGATGATGATAAACTAAGTAACCAAGCAGGCTGTGTAGAACAATCTTGTTTGCTTTTTCAGTTAGCTTACTTTAAAAGAGAACTGGTTTTAAATGTCACTTTCATGTTGAGAGTTATAGCTTCTATACTGATGCGGAAATTTTCATTTTGTACCTTTCTTTTTTTCTGTAGCATGTGCATGGACTCAAACGATGATGCAAAAGCTGTTTTACTAGCACAAGCTGAATCACAGGAGAATATTTTCTTTTCGAGCAGATGGCAACATTTAGTTCTCACCTACCTACAGCAGCCACAAGGGAAGAAGAATGTTCATGGGAAAGTCTCCATCTGGGTCTCTGGGCAGAGGTATAGGAAGCAGTTTTAGAAAATACTTATGATCTCAGTTACAACTTTTAAGTTTAGCCCATTATTACTTCTGAAACTGATTACAGAAAACCATGCAAAACTTACTGTTTTAACATAGAAACTTAGATCACAATCTGGGTTTTTTTCTGTTGTACAAAATAAGTCTTCTATAGAAGTGACTGCTGAAAATTACTATAGTTAGCCTACCACGTCCATGGATTCTTCTGTATTTGTGGATTCAACAACCTTGGATTAAGTTACTCCAGAAAAAGTTGTGTCTATTATGAACTTGTTCAGACATTCTCCTTAAAAATATATAGTATAAAGCCAGACACCGGTGGCTCACATCTGTTATCTTAGCTACTTAGGAGGCTGATATCTGAGGATCGCAGATCAAAGCCAGCCCTGGTAGGGAAATCTGTGAGACTCTTATTTCCAGTTAACCACCAGAAAACTATAAGTGGCTCTGTGGCTCAAGTGGTAGAGTGCTAGCCTTGAGCTGAAGAGCTGAGAGGCAATGCCCAGGCCTAGAGTTCAAGCTCCATGTCTGCAAAAAATAAATTTAAAAAATTATATATATATATATATATATATATATATATATATATGATGTAACAACTGTTTACAAAATTTTTTCATTATATTAGATTTTGGTAATCTAGATATGGTTTGAAAAACACAGAGATAAATGTAGGCCATATGTAAATAGGCCTTTTCATGTAAGAGATTTGAACATCCTTGGATACTGGTGTCTGTACAGAGTCCTGGAGCCAATCTCCTATGGATACTGATGGATGATTGGGTTTGGGGAGTATGCAGAAACCTGGACATTGAGACATTTATGTATATTACATATTAATCAAGAATTATAGAATCTCTAATTTTGTTGCTCAAATGATGATGCAAGTCCATTTATTATAAAATGAATCCATAGGGAATTATTCAAATAAAGTGAATATCTAAGTTAAATTAGGTTTCCAGAAGAAATTTGAGTGACATGTATGTCAGGTGACAGATTAGTTCAAGTCCTAGATATCTTCCAGGTGATAGATTCAGATAGAGTGTTATGTGAGTTTTACCTCACAGGAGAATTATAGACTGTCTGAATGCTGAATGAATTATATCAGGTGTCTTTCATTTGTAGGAGATGAGAGCTCTTTTATTGAATAAAATAGCATAAAGGAGGATATAGAACTCAAAACTAGTTGATAATAGAGGATCAGGTTGGCTAGAAAGTGTGAGTTGAATAATGAGAAAGAAAACTGAACAGGCAAGGTGAAAATACGTAACAGAAAACATTGAATGCCAAGTTAACATATCTAAATTTGATTAAATGGACCTTTTTTTTCTGGTCCTGGGTGCTATCTCTTTGTACTCAAGGCTAGTGCTCTACCACTTGAGCCACAGCACCACTTCTGGCTTTTTCTGAGAAGTTTATTGGAGATAAGATTCTCACTTTTGCCTGGGCTAGCTTTGTACTTCAGTCTCTAGATCTCAGCCTCCTGAGTAGCTAGGATTATAGGTGTGAAACACTGGCACCTGGCTAAATGGACCATTTTTTTTTTATTGTGTACTTACAGTGTTACAAATCTTGTTAATGAAAAAAAACTTTTTTCACATATTTTTTCCAGGACCACTATGTGCCAGGCATTGAAGCAGTAAATATTTCATATTTGTTAAATTTTTTATTTTTTATTCTTTTGGTCGGTTGTGGGGCTTGAACTCTGGACTGGGGCACTGTCCCTCAGCTCAAGTCTAGCACTCTACCACTTGAGCCACAGCGTTACTTCGAGTTTTCTGGTGTTTTATTGGAGATAAGAGTCTCACAGACTTTCCTGCCTGGGCTGGTTTTGATCTGTGATCCTCAGATCTCAGCCTCCTGCATAGCTAGGATTACAGGTGTGAGCCACTGGTGCCTGGCTTTTTTATTCTTTTAAAATCATATTATGTAGTAATACCACAAGATGGCACTTATCAATCAATCAATCAAGGCACTTATTTGTTCCACAAAAAAATGATTTCAGATTATCTCTGTTTTTCCCTTTATTTAAAAAGTTCCTGGGGGAGAATGCAGGAAAGAAAGGAAGTAAGGAAGGAAGAAAAGAAAGAAAGAGAGAGAGAAAGTAAGCATATCCTACAAAATTAAGAAAAGTGAGGAGAGTGATGGGTTGGAAGGAATGAGTGAGAATTTTGAAAGGTATGACTTTGATCAAGATGTATTGTGTTCATAAATTGCTTTGTTGAATAACAACTCCTTTGTACAATTAGTTAAAAATAAGTACAAAGTTTCTGGTGAGGTGTCCATGGTTTATGCATGTAATCCTAGCTACTCAGAAGGCTGAGATCTGGAGGATCATAAATCATGTCCATCCTGTGCAGAAAAGCCAGGAGATTCCATATCTAAAAATAACCAGCTAAACGTCAGGCTTGAGGCACAGCTTAAGTGGTAGAGTACAAGCTGGGTGGGTGTGAGACCCTGGGTTCAAACCCCAGTATTGGAAAAAAATCCTATTAAGATAGCTGAATTTACCTTGTAAATATAAGCTAGCCATAAACTTTTAAAGTAAATACATGCAAAGTTAATTTTCTCAAAAGGAGTTTAACTGAGTTCGCTTATTCTAGGTCTTCATTGTACAAAAGACTTTACCTTGATACGTAAAGTGAAGGTGAACCCTGTACTCAGCAGTTCCACTAGATGGCACAGTCCTCTTAGGTTTTGTATGTCTATGAAAAAGCCTTACTTTCTGGTACTGTCTTGCATTCCTAATTAGCCTTTATCCATGAAGAAAAAAGAGGAGGCTTATCAAAATCCATCATCTTTAGCACTGAAAAGACAAAATGTAGAAAGCACTTGCCTTTCAGTGGCTTCACTGAGTACAACTCGGAGATAATGCTTCTGTGATTGGACTTTGAAGGTCCCCTAGAGAACATAACACATTAGGAATTATTTGACAAAATGGGAAACTCCTTGGTAAAATTAGGAAAGTACACAAGGCAAAGACAACTTGCAGCAGATGTCTGGTCCTTCCTCCCATGGCCTGTTTTAGGGTCTCTAGCCGTCTCTTCTGCTTCATGCCCTGTGGCTTGTGGACCACCAATACCTCCATCCAAGAGACAGTAGGTTCAGCTTTCTGTGCCTCTCCTGCCAGCCATCCAATACCAAACTGAGAAAAGTTTCTCATTACAAATCTTTCCTTGAAAATGCTTAGTTCAAATACTCCTAGAAGTCATTGACCTAACTTTGTTTTTATTTAGGAAGTCTGATGTCATTTTGGATTTTGTGCTTCCAAGAAAAACAAGCTTATCATCTGATAGCAACAAAACATTCTGCATGATTGGCCATTGTTTGTCATCCCAAGAAGAGTTTTTGCAGTTGGCTGGAAAATGGGATCTGGGAAATTTGCTCCTCTTCAATGGTACATATTTCCCTTGGAAGAAATATTTTAATATTTTCTAACCCCCCAGTGTCTGAACAGTTGATATATAATGTAGAGATACCTCCCCAATATTATATCAATATTTTACAATCCTAGAAAATGCAGTATCATAACCAGGAAAGTTAGAATAGTTGTCTTGTTATACTAATTTGAAAATTGAGGGTTTAGCAGTTTTATCAGGATAGTAAAGAACTGAAAGAATCTTGTAAAGCCCTTTCATTTTCTCTTTTTATGAGAAATTCAACTTGGGGTGTTTTAAATAACTGGCTTTTTTTTTGCCATTCAGGAGCTAAAATTGGTCCACAAGAAGCCTTTTACCTTTATGCTTGTGGACCCAACCACACATCAGTAATGCCATGTAAGTATGGCAAGCCTTCCATAGACTACTCCAGGTATATTAATAAAGACATACTGCGGTGTGAGCAAGTCAGAGAGCTGTTTATGACCAAGAAACAGGTGGACCTTGGCCTCTTAATTGTAAGTCTTGACTCTATAAGTTTTTAACTTTATTGTATGTATTAGCAGCAAGTAGAATGTTATTAGGCTGTCATTGAGACGAAGTTCTAGTAATAGAGAATTGTTTGGCAGTTATTTTACTTTATAGTAAGCCTATATATGTATTGAAACATGTAATAACCAATGAATTAGATTTATAAAGTTTTCCATTTTGTTTCTTAACATCATTTCATAGATTTTTTTTCCTGAAAAATTTGGAACACTTTGATCTCTTGACAAAATTTGTCTCATTCTTTCAACTTATATTCCCTTTTCCTTGGAATTATATTTCTCCAGTAGTGATATAAGTTTAATTCATTTTAGCATCATTCAGGAAAAAAATTTTTTTTGGGGGGGGGGTCCAGTCGTGGGGCCTGAACTCTGGGCCTGGGCACTGTCCCTCAGCTCTTCAGCTCAAGGCTAGCGCTCTACCACTTGAGCCATAACGCCACTTCCGGCTTTTTTCTTTTTGCTTATGTGGTGCTGGGGAATTGAACCCAGGGCCTCATGCATGCAAGGCAAGCACTGTACCACTGAGCCACCTTCCCAGCCCCAGGAAAAAATGTTTATAAGTGAAAAGAAGAAACTTTTAGCCCAGTGTATTAAATCATTCATTGTATTTTCTGTCGATAGTTACATACTAATATTCAGTTTTAATAATATATGGTTAGCAATAAATACCAATACTCTGTTATAATATTAGTGTTACTCAGATGTGTTTTCAGGTTTTAAAAAAAATTAATTATAAGTTAATAATTAACTTAATTATTCCTTAATAGCCATAAAAACTAGGAATTTTGCCTTAAAAGTATTTCTAGTTTTATCAGGTACTGGTAGCTTATGCCTGTAAGAGCAGCTACCCAAGAGGCTGAGATCTGAGGATCACAGTTTGAAGCCAGCCTGGGTAGGAGAGTCCATGAGACTTTCTTTTAAATTTTATTTTAATTGTAAAGATGCTATACAGAGAGGTTACAGTTAGTTACATGACCATGAGACTCTTTATCTCCATTTAATCACCAAAAAGTAGAAGCAGAGTTGTGGCTTAAGCGGTAGAGCACTAGCCTTGAGCACAAAAGCTCAGAACAGCGCCCAGGCCCTAAATTCTAGCCCTGGGACTGGCCAAAAACAAAACAAACAAAAACAGTATTGCTAATGTTGCTAATATGAAAATCTCTATTGCTTTTTTGCATTATTTTACTATTTTGTCCTACTGCACACATGATGAAGAAAGAGAAAAGAAATCCAAGTAGATATCTACTTACTAACTGCAGAACCTAAAAACCTGAGATTAGATATATTATTCTTTTATTAAGTATACGTTCCTTTTCTCCCTAAGGAATGTGAGGAGTAGTAGCTGCCACTTGTCAGGGGCTAGGGATGCCAGGTGGTCTGTAGTACATAGGCCCTGCTATGGCCAGATGACATCTTCTCCAGTGCCCCTTACTGAGACAGCATGCTTAGGGAAATGGTTTCAGCTTGAGTCTCCAGCCAGATCACTATGAGGGTTTGTTTTAACATACACTGCCATGCCAAAATTTCTACTTGGGTAGATCTCAAATGTGGCCCAAGAATTACCTTTATAATAAACTCCTGGATGATGCAGGCACAACTGGTTTGGAGCCGTACCTTGAGAGCTTCTGCTTCAGGGGTACTGGGGCACCAAGCTTACACACCACAAAAAATTGTTTGTTCCAGAAATAGTCTTATCTTCCTTTCTGATTTGTTTTGTTGTCATGAAAAATATTACATTTTTCCTGAAAATATAAGTTGTGTTCTTCCTACCTCATTGTCCCTCATAGCTGGCACTTACAAGCATGCCCCACCATGCTTCTTTTATTCTTTAATGTGGGATCTTGCCAAATTTCTGCTTAGGCTAGCCTTAAACTGCAAAGCCAATAGACCTTCTAGCTTTGCCTCCCAAGTAGCTGGAATTATAACTATGACTTACCTGACCCCTAATTTATCTTCTAAAATATTTCAGAGATGCTTGAGGGGGAGCCAGATTAGATGCTGGTTGAAACTGCTTTCTGCATAGGAGAGCGAGGTCTGCTTAGTTTTATTTTATTGTGCTGGCAGTTTGGAGTTTTATGAAAATAGAGTTTGCATTCACTTCTAAATGGATAGCCAGCCTCTGAGCAAACCACAGCCAAGAATGTGAGTAAACAGATGCAGAGTTCCTGTGTTCCTGTCTTTTCTTCTTCCAGCCCTCCTCCTCCTCCTCCTCCTCCTCCTCCTCCCTCTTCTTCCTCTTCCTCCTCCTCCTCTTCCTCTTCTTCCTCTTCTTTCTCTTCTTCTTCCTCCTCCTCCTCTTTCTTCTCCTTTTTTTGTGTGTGTTCCAGTCCTGAACTTAGGACCTAGGTTCTGCTCCTGAGTTGTTGGTTTTTCTCTCTCAATACTAGTGCTCTACCACTTGAGTCACAGCCCCACTTCCAGCTTTTTTGGTGGTTAATTGGAGATAAGTCTCATGGACTTTCCTGCCTGGGCTGGCTTTGAACTATTGTCCTCAGATCTCAGCCTCCTGAGTAGGTAGAATAACAGGCATGAGCCACCAACATCTGGCAAGTTCCTGTGTTTTCGTTTAGAATGGTACCTAGTATATAATGAGTATGGCAGAAGACCTAGCTGTAACTAGTAGTAATGTTAAGTATGATTTTATGTATATTCTGAACTGATCAAAGCTGGGCCCTTCTCACCTTACCTTTATTAGTCACAGCTCAATGAAGCTGATCATTTCCTTTAATGGGAAATAGCCCCTTGCTTCTTGTGTGTGTGTGGGGGGGGGGATTGGGACTGGGGGGGAGGGGGGAGGCTGGGAAGGGATGTGAAGGGTAAACAAAGGAGGAGGCTGCAATGCTTGGTAAGAAATGTACGCATTATCCTGCCCATGTAATTGTAACCCCTCTGTACAGTATGTTCACAAATAAAATAAAATAAATTAATTAATTAAAAAAAAATAAAAACAAAGACAAGCCGGGCACCGGTGGCTCACGCCTGTAATCCTAGCTACTCAGGAGGCTAAGATATGAGGATCGAGGTTCAAAGCCAGCCCGGGCAGGAAAGTTCATGAGCCTCTTATCTCCAATAAACCGATAGATAACCGGAAGTGGTGCTGTGGCTCAAGCGGTAGAGCACTCACCTTGAGCTGAAGAGCACAAGGACAGCGCCCAAGCCCAGAGTTCAAACCCCATGACCGACAAAAAATACATACATACATACATAAAAATAAAAACAAAGACAAAAGTAGTTTGATATCTTCATTTTCAAGTATTTATTTGCTAGCCGGTAGCTCACCTTTTAAGCCTTGTGTTGTTACTGAAGGAAAATATTTGTCTTTTAGGAAAGTCTTTCAGTTGTGTATACAACTTACTGCCCTGCTCAGTACACAATCTATGAGCCAGTGATTAGACTCAAAGGTCAAGTGAAAGCCCAGCTTTCTCAAAGACCCTTCAGCTCAAAAGAAGTCCAGAGTATCTTACTAGAACCTTCTCAGCTGAAGACCCTCCAGCCTACCAAGTGCCAGACTATCCAGGGCATCCTGCATGAGATCGGTGGAGTGGGTACATTTATATTTCTCTTTGCTAGGGTAAGTATCCTCATTTCAGATTACTTGGGGATTATGAAAAAAGCTATAATATTAGACTTTGAAGACAAAAGTCATAAAATAAAGATGATATTGAGCCTTCTGCCACAGATGGTTTAAGATTTTAGAAATTTCTATTATTCACAAAGGTGATTAGAACATATAACTATTAAATGATGTGATTTTAAATTGCCTTTGGAAAGAAAAAAATTGTTGTTACTGTAGTAATATGAAAGAAATACATTTGTTCCTTAAGCTTCCCAATGCATGGGGGAAATAAAACGGCAGTCAGCGGTGGAAAAATAATTTGTTTGAATTTGTGTTTTTTTTCTTTTTTTAAAGAGAAGAAATACTCAAAAATGGTAAAGGCTTTAAGTACCATTTTAAAAAGGCTTTTTAGTTATTTGAAGATAGGAATGCCATCTTCCCCAACACAGTGAACATATTGACTATTTCAAGGATTGCTGAAATCTGTAACGGGCACACATATGGCACATAATTTCAACTTCCTCGAGTCCTTGTTTCTTCCACCCAAAAGCAGTCTTGACACTTCATCCTCAGAATGCCATCTTTGTTTATCCCCCTAACGTGCCTAGTCTCTCTATAACTGACTAGTTTTCTGTAATGGAACCCCCTTTGAAATGGGTTTTGTAGTTAGGAGGTGTATGAATCTGTCATTAGGTGTTCTTGCTAGCTTTGCCCCCTACTTGGAATTCTGTCTTTCTTGCCTCTTCTTCTTTTTAATACTTTACTTCTGATCTATTATCTAGTTCATGGATGTTCCACTCCTGTTTTAAAAGTGAATGCCCCACATTTAATATCTCATAGATACTTTTTGGTCTCCTTTTATACTAGTGTATAATTTCAAAATGTATATCCTTGATTTCTCTTCTTTCGCCTATGTATTGAATATGATTTTGTTACGATTACTGTTACACACTGGGTGATGGAGGAAATGGTTAGAATAATATTGTTGACACATATATGAACTACCAATAAGACTTTTAAAGTTTGTTTAAAGTATGTTTTCACACTTTAAACTTAGATACTGAATAGCCTTCCACTTCTGTACCAAAATAGAATTTAAGCTAGGAGCTGGTGGCTCATACCTCTAGCTATTCAGAGCAGCTGAGAAGCCAGCCTAGGCAGGAAAGTCCATGAGACATTTACCTCCAATTAACTACTTAGAAAAGGCTGGAAGTGGTGCTGTGGCTCAAGTGGTAGAACGCTAGCCTTGAGGGCAGAGGCTCATGGACAGCACCTAGGCCCTGAGTTCAAGCCCCAGGACTGGCAAGAAAAATAAAATAAATAAAAAATAAAAATAGAACTCAGTTTCCTTAAAATTCTAACCTGCAAAACCTACCTCTTTGAGTGTGATCTACAGTCAGAGGAAGCCCTCCTTAGCTATGCCCTGAGCTCCAGGAGACCTTTACCTTCCCCTGGCTATACCCCACCCACCACCCTTCATTCCTGCTCTCTCCGCAGAGTTGGGGTCTCCTTCCAGCCCAGCTTCTATCTGTGTAGCCATCTCAAAACAGCAGAGCAGAGGGGTCAGAAGTAGGTTCTTGTCGTCATGTTTACCTTTTTATCACAGTTATAAGTCTGTTTCTTACACACAGCCGATGTCTGAAGTGGTGGATTTGAAGTGCAAGGCACAGTATGTGGCTTTTATTCGATTTACCTGTTTGCTAGACTGGAGTCCCCAAGAGGACAAGCATCTTGCCTCTTTCTATCTCCACAACACTTGATGGCAGAGCCTATTTCCTTCCTGACCATTGAAAACATGGGACATTGTGCTCACATTTCAGATTACTAAGAATAAAATGCTTCTGACTTTTTAGGTTGTTACAGTTGGTTTACTTCACTTGTAGAATATTTGAAAGACTAACACACATAGAATTTATGCCTGTCTTTCAGTTTTGTTTATTCACAATTCTTAAATAGTTATAGTGTGAGCATTAAAAATAAGTGTTCAGATGGTGGCCCACACCTGTAATCCTACATATTCAGGAGGCTGAGATCTCAAGATTGCAGTTGTAACCCAGCTGAGACTCTTATCTTCAATTAACTACTAAAAAAGCCAAAAATGGAGTTACGGCTCAAGTGGTAGAGAGCTAGCCTTGAGCAAAAATGCTCAGGGACAGTGCCCAGGCCCTGAGTTCAAGGGGACCAGCACACAAATAAAAAGGTTGCAGAAACTAATAGTTTAATATGATATAATGGTTAAGGTTTTACTCTTGACAGATTAGGAGAAAATTATTTCCACTTTTGCTTTTAGGTTGTTGAACTAAGTGGCTATGAAGAAACTCAAGCATTAGCACTGCAAGTGATGCTGTCTCTAATTAGATACAGTCAACAGAGAGTACATGAACTAGAAAATTGTAATGGCCTTTCTATGATTCATCAGGTGTTAATCAAACAGAAGTGCATTGTTGGCTTTCGAATTTTGAAGGTAAGCCCTCATTAAGTGTATTCTCATGGTTTCTATGCAGTCGTTCTTACCTTATATCAAACTCTTCCAGAAACAGTTTATGTTTTAGTACTTCTACAGAAAATGAAGGAAACTCACTACTAGTGTATATTTAATCAAACCGAGTTATTCCCCTGATTCTTTGCCTCTTTAAATATGTATGTTTTTCTCTGGACTCAAAACATTTGAGGTCTGGATAGAACATGGGTGTCCTCAGGCCTGCCCACCTGTTGTAGACAGCATGTTGTAGTGCTTCTGTAGTTACTTTTTAAGTTACTGACATCCACATCAGTCTTTGCTGGCATCCTGTCATAGTTGTCAAATATTTGAGAAATTAACAGCACTGTGAAAGTATTTGATAGCTGTAAAGGCAAAAGATGAATCTTCTACTCTTGTCTCCACCCACCTCTTAAAGGATTAAGATCCCAACATTTGTGGCATGAATTGTTACTGCTAATAGTTGATTAACTGAATTTTAAAATAATAGTCAGATATAGTGGTGTATTGCCCATAATCCTAGCACTTGAGATGGACATCACAGGATTACCAGTTCAAGGCTAGCCTAAATTACATAGTTCAAGCTAGTTTGAGCTACATAATGAGAACTTGTCTCAAAAAAACAAAAACAAACAAAACAAAACAAAACTAAAGACAGCCAGGTGCTGGTGGCTCATGGCTGTAATCCTTCTACTCAGGAAGCTGAGACCTGAAGATTGTGATTCAAAGCCAGACTGAGCAGGGAAGTCTTTGAGACTCTTATCTCCAGTTAATTGCCCAAAAGAAGCTAAAAGTGAAGATGTGGTTCAAGTAGTGGAGCACTATCTTTGAGCAAAAAAAAATAAAAGCCCAGGGACAATGCCCAAGCCCTGAATTCCAAGTTCAAGCCCCAGCCCAACACCAAAAAAAAAAAAAAAAAATATATATATATATATATATATATATGTCAGAGAGAGAGAGAGAGAGAGAGAGAGAAAGGAGAGGGGAGGAGCAGAGCAAAGCCTAAATTCAGCTATCTGGTTATCAGCTTCCATATCGTTAAAAGGAAGCCTTTAGTAATAGTTTGTATCTCACAGGGATGTCAGTAGGATTAAACATCTAAAGCTTGGGAAGTATTTCACATTCTTCCCAACTTGGAAATATTGTGGTTTATGTTGTTTTCATAGAGAGAGAGAGAAAGTGAGAGAGCGAGAGAGAGAGAGAGAGAGAGAGAGAGAGAGAGGGATCAAAGTCTGATACAAGGTCTGGGACTCAGAAAAAGAGGAGGATATAGCTCAGTGGTAGAGTGCTTGCCTAGTATAGTCAAGACATGGGGTTCAATCCCCAGCATTGCAAAAATAAAAAAGTAAGAATAAAGTGTGGATTGTTTCACACTATGTTTGGAACTAAGTAATCATTTTCAAATATTTGAAAGTTTAGGATATTTTATTTATTTGAGTTGTTTTGCAAAATAAAGCTGCTGTATGTAAGTTGAATCATGTATTAGTTTTCCTTTGAATAGAATGTTATAGTGCTAGGACTGAAAGCTTAATATTTTGCTGAAATAGTTGTTTAATCAGTTATTACTGCATTTTACATTAATACTAATTTCCACAGACCCTTCTGGAAGGCTGCTGCGGTGAAGACATCATCCACATCACTGAAAATGGAGAATTTAAGTTGGATGTTGAGTCAAATGCTATTATCCAAGATGTTCAGCTATTAGAGCAATTGTTGCTTGACTGGAAAATGTGGAGTAAAGCAAAGGCATGTCATCTTTGCTTTTCTTTCTGATATTTTTGTAGGAGAGTCTACACAGCACAGAATCTGCAAGCGTATAATTCAGAAGTACTAGGTGCATTCACAATTTGCACAGCCATCACCAACCTTTACCTCCAGAAATCTTTTGGTCTGGTCCACCAGGTGGCTTTTGCAAAAAACTAGAATGTCTAGAATTATTTAAAATATAACAATGTTATCCAAGAATGATTGAAAATTCAATTAAAAATAGATTATTCCCAAATTTGGCAATAGTCATTAAAAATTTATAAGTACCAACAAGTTGTAAAACAAAAATTTTAATTACTTAAATCTATCATTAATAAAAAAATTAGTAGTAATATACTAGAGGAAAGAGAATTGTTTTTCTTTTCTTCTTATGGAAAATTATATTATTAAACTGTTTCTATCTAAAAAGGCAACTAAAGAGTTTGACCCAGAACTTTATAAAAATATTAAAAAGGAGGGTCAAGTAACTAAACTGCCTTTTTGTATTTTGTGTTCTTGATGACTTTTGTCCTTTTAAAACATTTATGATCTTGGAATTTCTCATTCTGAATAAATATTTGCTTTCAGATCTAAAAATATTTCAGATTAAAATATTTTTAATATTATAGAGACAGAAAACAACACAGGGATGGCAAATGTAAACAAGTTAGATCAAAGGCAGTATAAATATGTAATAAACTCTATGCGCAGTTGGAGATTAGAAGAGCTAACTAAATGTTGAACTTTTTAGTATTTCCAAAAAGCAAGCAAATTTGAGGTTGTTTGAATTCAGAAGTGATGAAACATACATACACTAATATGAATTTGAAATTAGGGTTTTCTTCTCTAATTAATTTTGTGGGTGTCGGCTTTAGTGGGGCTTGGACTGAAATGCCTGGGAGCTCTTCCGTGGCTTTTTCATTCAAGGCTAATATTCTACTGCTTGAGCTACAGCTTCACTTCCAGCCTTTAGAGGGTTAACTGGAGATAAGAGACTAGTGGACTTTTCTGTCTGGACTAACTCTGAACTGCTTATACTTAGATCTCAGCCTCTTGAGTAGCTGGGATTGTAGACATGAACCACCAGTGCCCAGCTAATTATTTTTAAGCTAAATTTTGTTGTTTGGGTTTTTTGCTCATTGTTTGTTCATGTGTCACAGTTTTATTATTTTGGTACTGTCAGACCTGAATCAAGTGTTCAAACTTGGGCTTCCAATCTTCCAGCTACTGAATGGTCTTTTTTTTAATTTTTATTTATTTTTTATTGTGAAAATACTGTATAGAGGGGTTACAATTACATGGGCAAGATAATGAGTACATTTCTTATCAAGCATTGTAGCCTCCTCCTTTGCTTCCCTTTCCCATCCCTTCCCATCCTCCTCCCGCCCTCCCACCCACCAAAGTTGTAAAGTTCATTTTTGAGATAACAACTTGTACGGCTCATTGTTGCAATGGGTCCACCTGTAACCTTATTTAAACGACTTGTTTTTCCCCTTCCCCTCCACAAATTATACGACATCAAATACAGTGAAAGCAGCCTCTTGAGTAGCTGGTATTATAGACATGAGCCACCAGTGCCCAGCTAATTATTTTTAAACTAAATTTAGTTTGTTGTTTGGGTTTTTTGCTCATTGTTTGTTCATGTGTCACAGTTTATTATTTTGGTACTGTCAGATCTGAATCAAGTGTTCAGACTTGAGCTCCAATCTTCCAGCTACTGAATGGTCTTTTTGTTGTTGTTTTATTTCATTTTATTCCAGTATTAAAGTCAGAACTCTGGAGCTCTTGCTCAGCTTTTTCCACTCATGGTTGGTGCTCTATCACTTGAGCTATGCCTCTAGTCCAGCATTTTGCTGGTTAATTTAAAAGAGAGTCTGGAAGACTGGGCTAACTTTGAACCAAGTTCCTCACATCTCAGCCTTCTGAGTAGGTAGAAATACAGTCACGAACCATCAATGCCTGTCTTTTGTTTTTTTTTTTTTCTTTGCCAGTCCTGGGGCTTGAACTCAGGGCCTGGGCTCTGTCCCTGAGCCTCTATGGGATCAAGGTAGTGCTCTACCACTTAAGCCACAGTGCCACTTCTGGTTTTTTCTGTATATGTGGTACTGAAGAACCATACCTGGGGCTTCATGCATGCTAGGCAAGCACTCTACCACTGAACCACATTCCCAGCCCAATGCCTGTCTTCTTTTAGGTCATCTTGGTGTTCTATCTTTTGAAGAGAGAGGCTTTGGTTAGAGTAGTGATATATGTATGTATGCATATGCACATATATTTGTGTATATATATTTGTATATAATATATATATTTTGTAATGGTTTTATGTGTCTATGCACATATACATACACATATATATCCTGGTGGCTTTTCATTGTTCATTACTGTCAGATAGTGACGAGAAATGGTAAGAACTGTAATCCATGCCAGGTAGTTTTGTGTTTGGTTAACAGCTTGTTGAAAGGCCACTCAGGGTAATAAGATGAAGTGAAGATGATCTTTTAATATTAGTTATCTATGTCAGAGCTCTTTTTCTCTAGTAATATGGATAATTTAACTGATTGACCTTCAAATGATACTTTCTTTGCAGTTTGCAATTGTTCAAAAAATTCTGTGGTTAATCTAAAAATGCAGAATTGGTTCTGAAATCATTTGGTAAAATTCTGTGTATATGTGACTTAGTGTTGTAATTTATGTATTTTTAGTAACACTACTCTGAACAAATTATTAAAAAACAATTACATTGATGATACATTTCTTTAATTGGGATATATCCCTCAAGATAATTCACCTTTTGAAAATATTTATATAGGGCATAAGTATAAATGGCATAGATAGAATAATGCAATAAATCACTTAATATAATATTGCAGTACTAGATCTAATGATTTAATACAAAATATTTAGAAAGGACCCATTAATACAAAAAATAGAGCTGATCGCCAGTGACTCATGCAACTCAGGATGCTGAGATCTGAGGATCAGGGTTCAAAGCCATCTTGGGCAGGAAAGTTCATGAAACTCTTATCTCCAGTAAACCACTAGAAAACCAGAAGTGGTGCTGTGGCTCAAGTGGTAGAGCACTTGCCTTGAGCTGAAGAGCTGAGGGACAGCATCCAAGCCCAGAGTTCAAGCCCCATGACCAACTATAAAAAGAAATAATAGTTAGGGAATAAATTTCAAGGTTGACTTTTCTCAAATAAATTTAATGTTTGATACTGAATATTTACCCATTGTAAGAGTGTTACATTGCAAGTCCAAAAAGCCTGTAGCATGGTTTTCAGTAGTTGTGTGTTAATTGGTGTGTTTCTTTTCTCAGCAAGGAGTGTGGGAAACTCTGCTAGCTGCACTAGAAGTCCTCATTCGGGTTGAGCACCCACAGCAGCGCTTTAATATTAAGCAGCTACTGAAAGCTCAAGTGGTTCATCGCTTCCTACTGACCTGTCAGGTTTTGCAGGTACTTGCCACACAACTTTACCTGGGAGAGGTGTACTGCAGTTGTTTCTGTTTACTAATTCAGTTCTATGGACAAGCAGTCTTTGCAGCATTCTTCATGGAATTTTTTTCCTCTTTTTCATCTTATTTACGCTTGGTCTTCTAACTCTTGCTTCTTGATAACACTGTTACCTTTCCTACCTCAAATTACACAAGAACAACTACTAAATTTCTGAGATGTTTCTTTATGTCGGAATATAATAATTTTACATAAGTGATGTAACTGCTTGAAACCAACTATAGTTGATAAGTCTTAATCAACTTGAAAGTACATATTGGTGTTTCAATAACTGTTATTTGGAAGTCTATTTTAAAATAAAAAATTTGAAAAACTAAAATATAGTGGTTTTGAGCCAGGCATGGTAGGACACACCTAGGATCCCAGTGCTACAGAGGCTGAGGCAGAAAGATTGTGAGTCCTGTATTCTTGAAATGAGAGATCAGACTCCTTAGAGAACCATGTGAGAAAGAGCACATTACATTAGTATGACTAGTGTTCTATCAGAAAAATCCCACTTCTAGCTCCATAGCAGCAGTGGTAGAAGAGGAAGTGATAGTCATGTGGCATAGTGAGAATTCACTAACAGTAACTGACCTTTTACAGTTCATGCACTCAAAATTTTCAAAGTTTGAAACAGTTCTGATTTTTTACTTATGGATGCTTAGTTATAAAGTCTATGAAATGTTCTAAATCTATGAAATCTGAAACTTCTAATCCCACACATTTTGGATAAGGAATGCTCAATCTTTATGAGTTGGTGTCATTTAATCCTCAAAACAACCTTATTAAATAGTTATATGTTATAAAAAGTGAGGCTTGGAAATACTATATGATACCCCTACCATCATACAGCCAGCAAGTGAAGGAGTCATAATGCAAACCTAGGCTCTTTGGTTTTTGTAGTTCATGTATGTAAGTAATATACTATAACTTTGTTTCGGTTTAGCTAAGTTAAATGGGCTAGAATGCAAATGCCATCAGTTTTAGTGAACTTCTAATGGTCAGGTTATTCAAGCTAAGAAAGAGCAACTCAGTAGCAAATAGAGTCAACCTAGAGTAGTAAACCAGCAGAATTCTATCTTAAAAAGAATATATGTTTAAATGAGTGGTTGACAGTTAAATGGTCAATAGTTCTCTTTAAATCTAAAGACAGTTTGATGTTTGTTTTTTGTTTTTAGGAACACAAAGAGGGGCAGCTTACATCCATGCCCCGAGAGGTTTGTAGATCATTTGTGAAAATTATTGCAGAAGTCCTTGGATCTCCTCCGGATTTGGAATTATTGACAGTTATCTTCAATTTCCTTTTAGCAGTTCACCCTCCCACTAATACTTATGTTTGTCACAACCCCACAAACTTCTACTTTTCTTTGCACATAGGTAGGTATAATTACTTTTGTTGGATCTTGTCTCTACTGTTGTCTTATTCTTTCCACATCTAAATTTGTTGTGATACTAATGTAATGGCCTTCTTGTGTTAGAAATTGCCCTGATTACATACTAGGTGGGGTCAGGCAGAGGGTTTAAAGGTAAATCATGCACATCTGTGCCTCCAGTGAGCTTACCAACCAAAAAGAGAAGGGACTCATACATTCAAATAGCTGACCAAAACAATGTGAGGTAAGTATTTAATGGATACAGAAGGCAAATGAGTTCTCCCTGGGGAGAGTGCTTCACCAGAACATTAGGCTATATGGTATCTGTGTGGTCATTGAAGAATTTAGGCAGATTCCAGTAGGTAGCTTGGAGAACTAGCATTTCAGGCAAAGAGAATGGCCTAAAGGGAAGGAAAAATAGACCAAATAAGAAATAATGTACTTTACCTAAGTATGGGGGTCTATAAAATAATATTGAGAAATAACATCCTAAGTATAGTTTGAAACCATCTTTCTTTTCTTTTTCTTTCTTTTTTTTTTGGGGGGGGGGATCCGGTCATGGGGCCTGAACTCTGGGCCTGGGCACTGTCCCTCAGCTCAAGGCTAGCGCTCTACCACTTGAGCCACAGCACCACTTCCAGCTTTTTCTTTTTGCTTATGTGGTGCTGAGGAATCGAACCCAGGAGCTCAGGCATGCAAGACAAGCGCTCTACCACTGAGCCAACTTCCCAGCCCTCTTTTCTTTTTCTCTCCTAGAATTTATTATATGAGTCCTTGAATATAAGGCTAGAGAGTATGTACTTATATTCCAGAGTCTTTGAAGGGGTTGTGTTGGTTTGCTTGTTTATTTTTAAACAAAGGACTATGATCTAAGTAAATTATTACAGTAGGATTCAGTAGTGACACCAGAGTAGACCAGTTATATCATTAGTAGGAGACATTAAATAATAAAATTTGGGCGCAGTAGCAGTGGAACTGGAAAGAAGAAATAAATGGAGAAATGAGCTTAAAATGGGATGGCTCTATGATGTTAGGGAAGAGGATACTGACTGGTTTTGTGATACATGTTTCATTTGAGTGCCCTGGCATAACCAGGTAGCAGGCAGATGGAAGGAAGGCTTATAACATGGGGCAGGTACCCACACAGAAGCTCTGAAAATAGATGGGACTACTAATAAATAGTAGATAGAAGTAGAAGCTAAGGATAGAACTGTTAGCATTATTACCTTGAGAGGACAGTCACATCAAAGACTCAGTACCAGAGAAAGATGGAAAATTCAGTTTTTATCATATTACTAGGAAAGTCTAATGTGGTAATTAAGCAATCAACAGTGAACATATGGGAAAGCTAGTAAGTTTAAAATTCAAAGCAGCTGGTACAATAGCTATTTTAGGATATGTAATGAATGGATAAAATGATAAAACAAGAAAAGTCCAAATGAAATCAGACAGCATGACTTCATTTATGTTCAGTGCATTTAGTGGTAAAGTGCTTATGCAAGATAGTTACAAAAATGAGTAAAATATGGTTCCCTCCATTAAGAGGCTTCTAGCCAAGTATGGGGAAAAAGATCTAAGCAGATGATTGCAGCACAGTGAAAGCCATAGTGTTAAAAGCACAGGGATGTGGAAATCAGTATTCTGTTTTCTAGAGGCACAGAGTAGGGTGAGGGTTAAGGTGAGATTCCCTGCAGGAGGCCATACCTGCCCAAAGGAAGGACATATTACAGTGGAGGAGAGGGCTTGATAGAGTTCAAGCTGAAACGTAATGTGGGAAAACAAGCTGGAGAGAGATGCACAGATCATGGGCAGCCTTGTAGATAAGAAGCTGGGAGTTTGCCCAAGTTGCTGAGGGGGTAAGAGGCAGAGTTTTAAGGCAGAGTTGACATTCAGTGAAGAGAATTCAGTAGCTTTAAGGACTTTAAAGTGGCAGATGTCCACCAAGACGCCGTTTAGAAGTCTCTGACAGTAACTAAGATCAAACAGCTGTATTATATCACTCTGAGGGGCGCAATTTCAGAAACTGAAGTGAAGTCAGTAGAACCTGCTGACTCGTGTCAAGAATGTAGAGGAGACCTGGGGTCCAGGTGGCCCCACCCTATATAGGAATGGAGGGGACCAAGAATAATTGACCACAACAAAATGTATCATAAGAAACTGCTTGGTGTGAGGACTCACATCAAGTGCGCTGTGCAGTCTGAAGCTAGCCGTATTTTGTTTCTCTTTGAATATCCACTTGTCAAAATGTAATGATTAAAGCTATATTTTTTGTTTATCTTTCAAATTTTTTTGCTGTTTCAAAAACATTTTTTATTTTAGATGGCAAGATCTTTCAGGAAAAAGTCCAGTCAATTATGTACTTGAGACACTCCAGCAGTGGAGGGAGATCCCTTGCCAGCCCTGGGTTTCTGGTGGTTAGCCCATCTGGTTTTACTGCTTCCCCATCTGAAGGTAACAGTAGCAACAATGAAAGTACAATCCTGGATTTGCTTCTGAATAGTCAAAGATAATTAACCTGTACATATTTTAGCAATATAATATAACCTGATGTCCAAACTAAATAAATGGAATATTAAACTTAAAACTGGAACCACAGTCTTCCTGATCTCTACCTCCCAGGTAGCTGGGATTACAGTCATGAACCACTCTGCCTGGCCTCTTGTCTTTCTGATTTCATCACTGTCCTCAGTTCTCTTTACCTCTGCTCTCCATACCCAACTTAGGTAGCATTTGCTTGTCCTGGCTCACAGATAGCTATCTTTGTCCTCCTGAAAACTGCAACCATATTTTAATGCTGCTCTATCATTTCTATTTGGAATGCATTTGTTTTCTGTGATGTATATATTCAAGGCCTTAAACGTACAACACTTTTCTATTTTATTAATTTCTCTTAACAGACCACTTTATCTCTGCTTTCAGAGAAACAAAAAAAGAAATAGATGCAGGTTTTCTAGCTGTGAACTGGCCATATGCCCTTTCCCTTGCTGACAGGCTCTGCTATGCTGGAGTATGGCTTTTACTGTCAGCCCAACCTAGGCTTCTATAGCTCCACTATGATGAAGTAGTGCAGTGTAGAGATGTGGAAAAATAGGACTAAATGTCTGAGTACTAACCTCTAATTGTGCTTTCCTTCTAAAGTGTTTCAGTTCTTTGGTGTATTTATTTTAACATCTTAAGGCTTTGTTTTAGTATTTTTTATTTGATATTTTATCAGAAATGTCTGTTTGAAACATTTTTTTGGTGCTGGTCCTGGGGCTTGAACTCAAGTGTATCCTTGAGCCTCTTCATACTCAAAGCTACCTTTGAGCTCCACTTGAGTCATAATACTGGCTTTTTCTGAGTAATTTATTGGAGATAAGTCTCGTGGACTTTATTTCCCCATCTGGCTTTGAACTGTGATCCTCAGATCTCAGCCTCCTGAGTAGCTAGGATTATAGGCAGAAGCCACCAGTGCCCAGCTGTCTGAAACATTTTGTAATACGTCATGCCCCTATTTTGCTATATGATTTGAACAGAATCTTTTTTAAATTTTACTTTATTGTTATAGAAGTGATGTTCAGAGGGGTTACATTTATATGAGACAGGTAATGAGTACATTTTCTTTTGTGTAGTGTCATCTGTTCCCTCATTTTCTCCCATTCCCTCCCTCCCATCTCCACCCACAGTGAGCAGAATCTTTTTTCAGCTTTATCCCTTCAGCCAGAATCAAGACATAGCTGGAAAAATGCCCTGGGCTGTGGGGCTGTGTTGTAGCAGAACAGGGACAGCTAGAGAACTTGTGAAAATGTGGGGTTCCTCTCCCTGCCCTTTGCACTCTTGTCTAGGCTGGAGTCTGAGAAGTGTGATTTACTAACTGAAAATATCTTCACCTGCATTCATCTATGTCCTGCACTCTTGCTGTGATCTGTGTGCACCTATGTTCTATGCTCTTGCTGTGGGAGCAGTTTTTCTGATCTCCTGCATGGAATATTAGAAATAATAAATGAGAGAGTATAAAAGAGAGAGAAGATTAGAAATAAGTGATTACAAATACAGAGGAAATAAATAGCTAGATTCATAGCTTAATAATAAGCAGCACCTTTTATTGAGCATGTGTTCCCTGATAGGTACTATACTAGTTATAACACAAGTATGGTCTCTTCCTTTGTACAGCAAGCATACATAATAGATACTCAGAATCTTCATTTTACATTTTTGGATCCTACCACTTCAGTGGTACAATTGAGTGACTTCCTGAGACTCCTGAGCTAATAGACCTGTCATTTGAATTCAGTCCTCTCTTGTTGCAGAGTACAGACTCATTCCCCTTCGTCCTGGTGAACTCCATGCACATCAAGCTTCACTTCAATCACCTCCTACCCACTGCAGCAGAACCACTGATCCTAGTGACGCTGCATCATGCCATCACTGTTGTATTAGGTGAAGGAGGGAGACAAAACATGTTTTTGAAAGATTTTAATAAAAACAAGGTTTAAATGATTATTGGATAATAAGAATGTTAGCCAGTAAGATCACTATGTGCCAGGAGGGGGAACTGTTGTCATGGCTGTGAATACACTGCAGAAGAACAGTGTTCCTATGCAATTGATTTAGAAGTAGTGAATAGATTTATAACAAGTATTTTGCTGTCTGCTCTTTCTAGGAAACAACGCCTCCAGTATTATTCCACAGCAGACAGCGGCCCACATGCTGCGTTCTAGAAGCCTGCCAGCGTTTTCTACCTCTTCCCCTCCAGTGCAGCCACACAAACTGAGTAGAAGTTTGGGCTGTAGTATTGACAAGTTACAAAACACTGTAGATACCTTCATTGCCACCCAGCCTGAGAAACTGACTCCTTCGGGGAGTTCAGACATGCTGAAAACTGGCAAAGAGGATTCGTTTATCAGTAGCTGTGAGTCTGCAAAAGCAGTTTGTGGAGTGGAAGCTGTTCTTGGACCCCAAGCCTCTGCCAATGGTGTCCCCACAGGAGCACTGGGGGTCCTGGTAGCTAGAGTAGACAGTAACAACCTGGAGGCAGAGCCCAGATGGGATGGTGACAGTCCTGGGGAAGAGTCCTGCCCACGCCGACCTGATCACCTGAAGGGACTGGCCTCCTTCCAGCAAAGCCACAGCATGATTGCAAGCCTCGGACTAGCTTTTCCTTCACAGAATGGATCTGCCACGGTTGGCCGGTGGCCGAGTCTTGTTGATAGGAATACTGATGATTGGGAAAACTTTGCCTTTTCTCTTGGTTACGAGCCAAAATACAGCCGAGCTGCAAGTACTCACAGGTACTCATGTTCTCATGAACCCTTGTTTGTGAAATAACTTTGAAGAATCTCTGTACTTACAGAAAAGCTGTTACTATGCCACTGTTCATGAGAGCTGCTTTTCCTCTGTTAGATAGCACTAAATTTATTTGAGGCTAAATAGCTCTCAATAATAAAATCTCTTATGGTCTATAATTATTAGATAACTTTCTTTTGCCTGTACTGGGTTTGAATTCAGACTCTTACACATTCAGCGTGCTTGTCCAGCTCATACTTTACCACTTGAGCCATGCTTCCAGCCACGCTTTTTGCTGGTAATTTTGGAGATGGAGTCTTGTGGACTTTCTTCCCTGGCTGACTTTAATCCCTGATTCTCTAGATATCAGCTCCTGAGTAGTTAAGATTACAGGCATAAGACACCAGTGCCCAGCCTAAATTTTTAGTTTAATTTTTTTAGTTCCCAGAGGCATTGCATGGGGTGCCATGCGGTGAACCTTCCCATGGTGGTAGAAATGTCCTGTCTGTGCTATCCAGTTCAGTGGACATAGCCACATACTTGTTGAGCACTTGAATTATGGCTAGTTCAGCTGAGGAACTGAATTTTTAGAAATTTGACTTTAAACTGAGTGCTGGTAGCTCACACCTGTAATCCCAGCTATTCAGCCTAAGATCTGAGGATCACAGTTCAAAGCCAGTCTGTGCAGAAAGTTCTATGAGGCTCTTACCTCTAATTAGCCAATTTTTTAAAAAGCCAGAAGTAGGTGGGGAGGGAGAGTGGGG